ATATGGTAGTTTCCCTAAATAAGGGGATCCCAATATAGACTCCCCAAATACTACAGTCCTTGTAACTGGGACCTCCAAAAGGTACTCCTAATTTTTGAAAAACCCCTCATGGAGACAAGGCTCGTGAGGTTGAACGGCTTTGTAACTGGCGCCATGACGTTTTACAGAAGCAGCCGTCTGAACATGGAATTTCAAACTGTGGAATCGCGAGGCGCGCCAACATGCTCCAGCATGCTCGAAGCCCCGGACAAAAGTTCCGCGCTTTTTAATTGCGTCTTCATGGACAACTTGCGCAGAAGCCATGGCAGCAGACGGCGGGCGGGAGCGCGATCCCGAAAGTGCTCGGGCTTGGCCTGTCCTTACAGATGCACAGAAACGAGTGAGTGTGCAACAGGAACACTGCAAATTCCAAGTTCCCCGAGCTGGTGTGCACAAAGTGCAGACCCCAAAGCCCAAGACACCGCAAAATCTGAAATTTCAGCACCGAGACGCACATGAACAGGATCTCCAATTATATTCGTAGAAAGGATTGCAGCGTTGCTTGTTTCCACCCTCAGTGAGGTTGTTAGATTTGAGAACGGCGTGAATCCAGCAGCCCTGCCAAAGACAGGAGAAATCATAGAAGGATATAGAAAGGCAAGCAAACGTTTCCGGACAAAACAGGACAGGTCGGAAGCGCAGTATGAGGCTTGAATACTGCAAAATCCATTTGCGGTCTCATTAGGCAACTGTACATCCCCCTAAACCCCAAACCCTAAACCCTAAACCCTAAACCCCCCACCCCCCTACAATGCAAGGCTCCAAACAGAGCCCAGTTGAGGTCTGAGCTGGGCAACTGTACAGTAATGTAGACCCATAATTAATATTGGGGTTATATAGGGGTTATATAGGGATAATGGAAAAGAAAATTGGAAACTATTATATAGGGTTTAGGGGTTAATGTAAACCCCTGATTAATAAATCCCGTCCTTTTAAGGGCCTTAATATTTGGATCCCGATTATAATCCCTATTATGGGGAGGGGTTTATTAATCAGGGGTCTACATTACCATTCGCGGATCCAAAATTCGTTTATTCAGCGGGCAACGGACGGGTGACTGTGCCACGCAATTTGCGGGTCCAAGTCCTAAACATCACGAATGACAGGACAGGATAGCAGGACGAGCAAGGCATTCTTGCCATGCAAAAGGCCAACACAGAGGACAGTGACAGTACCAAGCCCAAATAGTGGCCAGCTGGGCAGCTGAAGCCATAATCTCCCGCCCGAAAAGCCCATCAGCGCATGAGAATACCGAACAAACCATAAAATCTAAGTTTAGGGTTTAGCGATTAGTTTTTTTGGCGTGAAGGGTTGTTAAGAACAAAAACTAATCCCTAAACCCTAAACCTATGAAAATGTGGTCATTTGAGGGCAGCAGCGGCCAGCTGCGGACGCATACTATCGTGCCATCCGCACCCCCAAATGAGCTTCAGCCTAAACTCCTCGAAGGGGTCTAAACTCCTTGAAGGGGATTGTTAGAGAAGTATTATAAGGGTTACTCAGGGGATACTAGGACTATAGCTCAAATTTTAGGCAAGTTGAACTCTCAGGCGGGAGACCGTAACTCAAAATCGGTACCCCCCAACTAGCGGCATCTAGCGGCCATTGTCAGTCTCAGGCAGGCACATGTACCGCATTATCCCCACCACTTTACGGCCTACAATGGCCTACAACGAATGTTAGATGATGTTAGATGGGCGCTGTACGAAATATAATGGTGATTGCCAAGCATTGGCATCGAGATTTTCGGGCACAGGGTGGGGATGCTCCAAGTGATAATTCTTTGAACAATGTAAAACCCCAATATACTATAGTAGCTTCCATTTTCTTTTCCATTATCCCAATATTACCACCTTATACTGTATAGTAGTTTCCATTTCATTTTCCATTATCCCTAAACCCAAAAGCTTCTAAATCCTAAACCCAGTGTAGTTGTAATCATACCTAAATAACCCTAATATGACCCAAGGGGTACAAAACGTGATGGCTCCAAAAGTTGTTTCCTGCATGAACATGTCTTGGAGAATCGGACAGAACTGGACACCTGAATCCTGGGTTTAGGGTTTGGGGTTTTAAGTGTAGGGTTGTACATGTTTTTAGGCATAATTGGAATGTAGGTGCCGCAAAAGTCGATCTCCGCCCAAAGCGCGCATTGCGGCATGGAATTAAACTAGGTCCTTGACTTTCAGACCCATGGCTCATTCTGCAACAGCCTATAGGGTTTAGGGTCTAGGAGTTTGGATACTTTAATCCCTAAATCCTAAACCCTAAACCCTAAATCCTAAACCCTAAACCCTCAAACCTAAACCCTAAACCCTGAACCCTAAACCCTAAACCCTAAACCCTAAGTCCTAAGCCCCACCAAGGTCCTGGCTCGGCTGCAGCTGCCAAAGCAGCAGCAGAGACCTTAACTCGTCAAATGGTAGGTCGTCAAAGGGTGTAGGGTTTAGGGTTTAGGGTTTATGGGTTTAGGTCGTCAAAAGTATGGTTTGGATTTTGGGTCCCCATTGAAGGTTTCCCAAAATTATGGGCACCTTTTTTCAGGGTTTATAGTCCCCCTTAAGTAGATAGAATGTAGGGTCATATAGGGATAATGGAAAAGAAAATGGAAACTACTATTTAGGGTTTAGGGCTTAGGTGTTTTTTGGGTTCCCATTATTCAGGGTACACCAAAGGGACCACACAGTTTTGACAACCTACCAACTGTGCTGCAGGTAGAGCCTCTGGATCAGCGTAGATGCAGTTTTCAGTTGTCCTACACAGAACCAAAAGCCCTAAACCCTAAACCCTAAGCCCTAAAGCCTAAACCCTAAACCAATAAGCAAGACCCATCGCTTGTCTAGAACTAGGTGTTGGGAGACCTAATACTAAGGATTATCGTACTTTGGGGTGCATAAAGGGTTCCCTTACTTAGGGAAGCCACCAAGCTTCAAAATGACAATGGGCGAGAACCTGGAGTTTTGGCTCAGAGGATGCGACCTGGTGTTGTTGAATGTTGAAAAGCATAGGAGCTATAGTCTAAACTCCTTAAAGGGGGGTTACATAGGGGATTATATGTGGGACTACTATAAGGGCTATTAAGGGGGATACTAGGAGTTTAGATTATCGCTCATAGAAGGCATGGATCTAAACCCGGTAAGGTCAGGAAAATTGTAGGGATGGCGTTGTAGACCTTCACTTTGACATCGACTTGGGATACTTGGGGATTCCCAAGATTACGGGCATATACTTCTGGTATCTATTTTGGGTTTCAAATCTTAAGTACTACCCGAATATACCCCGTGTACTACTTAACCACAAGCCCTCGGCCAACATGCGAAGTCGTCCTCTCAAACGGCCACCGGCTCTGGAGCTTGGCAGGCACACAAAGTGGGGGTTTCCCAAAATTACGTACCCTAATTTCGGGAACCTGCAAAATTTGGTCTGCGCTGAATGTAAAAGAGGCGCTTGGTACACAGCAGTTGGTTGATGTTGACTTTAAGCACTTTTGCCGGAATAACCTTTGCAAAAGGCATCCCCAATTTTGCAGGCGTGTTTGCTTACCCTCCTTAAAGCAAGCAGTCGCTGCTAGCCAGAGCTGCCTGCAATGCCTTCAAAGTCTTACTTAGCCAATAGAAGAGCTTTAACCTTTTTGGGCTTCCTTTTTGGGTCTCTATAACAAAGTTTAAAATCTTTTGGCCCTGGTTATTGGGGAAGAGAGCTAATATATCCCCAATATAACCCTAATAGAACCCCACGATAACCCCAATGTTACCCCAATGTAACCCTAATATAACCCTAATAGAACCCCAACAGTACCCCAATGTAACCCTAATAGAACCCCAATGTAACCCTAATATAACCCTAATAGAACCCCAAGATAACCCTAATGTAACCCTAATATAGCCCCAGTTAGAAGAGAGAATTATCACTTTTGAGCTTCCTTGATAGAGAGCCAGTGGTTTGAGCAGTGAAGGAATGGCAAAGTAACATATGGGTGGTTTAGGGTTTAGGGTTTAGGGTTTAGGGTGGTTGTCAGAATTAATATTGGGGTTACATAGACTATATAGGTTTGTGTTGGGATAATATTGGGGTCATGTAGGGATTATAGGGTAATATAGGGTTATCTAGGGATAGTGGAAAATAAAATGGAAACTATTACTTTATTCAGTTATATAGGGGTTATATAGGGATAATGGAAAATACAATGGAAACTATTCTTTTATTGAGTTATATAGGGTCTAGATAGAGAAAATGGAAAAGAACATGGAAGCTACTGTTAAGGGTTACATGGGTGGTTGTCAAATTTGTGGTCCCTTTGTGGACCCCTACTATAATACGGCACCTAATATTTAGGATGCCCAAAAAGGGATCATAAGTTTGACAACCACCCATGTACACTATAGTCTCAACTCCTTAAAGGGGGTTTTATAGGGGATTATGTTGCCCCTTTTTTTCGGCTGTAGGGTTCAGGGTCTCAACTCCTTAAAGGGGCTTTATATAGGAGATTATATAGGAGCATTATGGGGTGTATTACGGGGTATGTTACGAGTGTAGACTATGGCTCATGTGGCTTGTGTACTTCATTTGCTGGCAGGCGGACACCAGCGCAGCCAGCCTCAGATGCCACGGACTCCATGCAGCAATATGTCCTGCTGGAAACCCTCGGCCGTGGTTCAGTCGGCAAGGTTGTTAAGGCAAAGCGAAAGACCGATGGCACGGAGGTTGCCCTTAAGTTCACGCATGTGACCGAAGCGGAGGCAAGGTTTGTGAGGGACGAGTTTGACGTTCTCCGCAGCCTCCAGCATCCTCACATAGTACGAGCTCTGGACTTTTTCAGCCATGCAGGACTGTCAGTCTTAGTGCTGAGTTACCATGCCGGCAGCACCCTGGACGTGGCAGTGAGAGATTCGAAGAGGCATTGTTTTCCTGAGAAGGTGGCAAAACCTTTGTTCCGCCAGCTGGTAGCAGCTGTAGGGCACATGCATGAGCGCCGCATCCTGCACCGCGACGTGAAGCCTCAGAATATTATTGTGGCTCCAGATCTTAGCACCCTGCACCTGACGGACTTCAATATCGCAAGGGCCCTAACATCGGCGGCTTCCCTTACACCAACGGGAACTTGGGAGTATTCAGCGCCAGAAGTCATGCGGGGTGAGTCGCCCTCTGAAGCTCAGGACATCCGGGGTGTGGGGCTGTGCTTATGCATGATGGTCGCTGGCAACGTGCTGAAGCCTTCTACATACTTCTCAGCCAGCATTGATGTGCCGGATCAGAATCAGATAACAACATGCCTACAAGGGTGGGAGGGTATCTCTCAGCCCTGCAAACATGTGGCCAATTGCTGCTTGGCCCTGGACTGGCATGCTCGCCCGGCAGCTATCATCATCCTGCGAATGGAATGGTTGAACAGCCCTCCACAAAAGCGAACCAGGTCAATCGACAGCAGCAAAAGCCCTGGAAGTCTTCGCCAGTGGCCACGATCGCGACGATGGGGAAGCGACGCAGATATGTATGTCTGGGAGCCTCAGGCAGTGGTGATGCTCTAAGACTTGCACTGTACACAAGCTGTACCGTGTTCGATTTGTTTTATTGCTTCTTGCACTGTACACAAGCTGTACCGTGTTCCGTTCGCTTTATTGCTTGAGGTACTTGCCTTAAAGGCTCAAAGGTACACAAACAGTCACTGCAGCTTTTCCACGTCACTCGGCTGCTGCACGTGCTTCAAATTGTGCTCGCAACTTAAATGCGCCTTTGGCAGGCAGAGGCACCAGCTAATTCACCGCGCGATCTCTTTAGGCAATATGGCGGGATAAGCAGCGCAATCTGAACTTATCTGTGCGGGTGGTTTTTTGACCCCGCGGGACTCCGCCAGGCTCACTTTTACTGGCTCTTGCTTAACAGTGTGGCCAGCCTTGACATGGACAACTTTGCAATCTGTCTGACCAAGCAAGTTCTGAACAGCGAACGTGGTGAATCTTTAAGTTTTCTTGCATGTCTGGGCTGCGCTGCAGTCAGGCTTTCTCAAGGGAGAACCCTGGTGGGGGTTTCCCAAAATTAGAGGCACCCATTGGGGATTCCGATAATAAGGCTTCCACTGTATTGGGGTCTGCCTTTTTAAGAAAACTAACTAAGAAAACGAACAAATACACCCAAATAAGCCCCAAATACCTATTTCGGGAAACCACCTGGTAAGATGCCGCGGTACGGTATCGGACGGCCGAAAAAAGTGTTTCTGCGATGTAGCCTCTTGGACACGTGTGCATCTAGGGTGAAGCGTTCGAGATACAGTCTAAACTCCTTAAAGGGGGTGTTATAGGGGAGTATACAGCCCCGTTTGTTTAGGGTTTAGGGTTTAGGGTCTAAACTCTCTACAGGGGGCTACAAACGGGATTGTAGAGGAGAGAATTATGAGGGTTGCTCAGGGCGATATTAGGATTGTAGACTATAGCTCATATGCTGGACAAGCATTTTGGAGCTAGGCGGTGTGGCATGGGTAACAGATGGAGATGTCAAGACATCCTTGATTCCTTTGGTGGTGACGTCTGCATGACTGCGTGTGCACTTCGCACAAGAATGCAGGCAACTTGACCATTCTGTGAGACCCCTTGATTGCAGTTAGAAAATGAGAGTTTGTTTTCATGTAATTACAGATTCAGATGATGGCCAGAGCAAGTAGTCAGTGCGGAGAGCGGGGTCACAAGGCAACAGCTGCTCTAGCTGCTGCGGTGACGTCTGAACCTGAATGCTGTCCGGTGTGTTTGGCGTCAGCTTTCAGACGTGGCCACCCATTGAACAGTAATATAGGGGCCTAAATAATTACCAATATTATGCTTCCATATTCATTATATAATTATAGTATCTGGTACCTCAAATGGACCTCAAAATGATATTGGTAATTATCTAGGCCCCTGTTATAGTCGCCGCACTTTGACTGAGGCTTCCGTCCAGCCCGAAATTCACGCAGAAAGCACCCCTGGCCGAACGGGTGCGGATGCACTGCTTCGTTTTGAACTTTCTGAAGGTGTTTCAACTGACATTTTCACCATGGGCACAATAGTCTGGATTGTTCTACTGAAATTGTGCAGATGCTGTCGGCTGACAGACATACTTTACATATTCATATGGGTGGTTGTCAAAATTATGGTCCCTTTTTGGATCCCTGTTATAATGCGGCACCTAATATTCAGAGTACCCAAAAAGGGACCATAATTTTGACAACCACCCACATGAACATCTTTGGCACAGCTCCTAGCACTTGACGTCCTGGCAGATCCTCTACAAGCTGATTGATCCCTAAACCCTAAACTCTAAACCCTAAACCCTGGCAGATCCTGTACAAGCTGATTGATACCGGTCTAACGGATCCTTCACCTTTGGAAGTGCCGAAGCCGGGCACCTAGTGAAGAAGCTCCAGGTCGCTCGTGAAAGTGCTGAGTGTCTAGAATTATAGTCCCCCTGAAGTAGATAGAACATGGCTTTGGGCATATTATAATATGATCCCCATATACCTCATATTCTATCTACTTAAGGGGGACTATACTCGTAACTAACCTACTTGTATCTTGAATAACGGCATTTTTGGTGTCGTTTTTTGTCCTGTGTACTGCGCTTTCAATCGCTCTTTGTATTTGTGAGGCGGGACTTGGAAGACTTCGAGTCACCGCGTAATTCTCGGATTAGGTGTTTGTGCCTGCGTGCTGCCAGTTCTGATATGCGCAGCAAGTAGTTCTGAGGCGCAGACTGTCGTGAGCAGTAGGTCAGTAGGCATGCATGCAAGCTTCCAGCTTGGTCATCGCACATTTGCATGGTAGTTTCCCAAACAAGAGGACCCCAATATAGACCCCAACATATCATAATCCGTATTATGGGGACCCCCCCAAAATGACACTCCTAATTTTGAGAAACCCTTAAAAACTGTAAACCTCTAATTTAACCGCTAATGCGGGACCGCCTCGGCAAGGACCACCCCCTTGCCCCCTCCCACCCCTGCCGCCCGGTCCCCCTTGTCCCGACCCCTACATCCCAGCTGATCACAGATTTTTTAGCCTGACGGGCAGGAAGAACCAACCGCCCTTGCCCCCCCCCTAGAAACTTGAAGAATAGGCCGTTTGGATCCTGCGTGCTGGGAGGGGGTAGGGGGTAGGGGGTTAACTTACTCTCCCTAGTGTCCGGACGCTCCAGGCCTCCAGCCTCGGCGGATTTTGCGAACCCCCTAAACCTTTAACCCTAAACCCTATATACTACCCCTATATACCCCTATATACCCCTTTATACCCCTAAACCCTAAATAGTAGCTTCCATTTTCTTTTCCATTATACCTATAGAACCCCTTTATAACCCTAAACCCTAAACCCTAAACCCTTAAACCCTATAAACCCTTAAACCCTATAATCC